GCCAGGGAGGAGGGATTTGAGTACCAGGTTCCTCCTTGAAGACCCCTTCCTCTGTATTCCCAGAATTGTCCCTCCACCCTAGGGCTTGTAGGGGGAACGCCAAAGAGGCGTCTCAGCAAAATCATCCACGGTACTCAAGAGGTCCCTTCAATTAGCCAGGGGACACAAAGTTCACTATCATAGCAGGTGACCCCGGATAGGCAGAGCCACTTGTGAGAATAAACGCGTGCATAGCTGTGGGCATATGGCCCACGGGACCAGCCTCAGCATCATGGGAACAGGGAGAGGGTCAGACATCCTTGGGGAGAAAGGAGGTGGGACCAACTTCTCCGGGCAGAAAACAGCGCTGGTACAGGCCCAGCATGTGTGAACTTCAAACCCTTGATCACTTTTCTCCTCTCTCCTGGGTTGGGAGGGCACCGTGGGGTGGTGTCTGAGTCCCCTGTCACCAGGCTCCTTCGGCAGGGTCCCCTGCAGGTGTGTGCCTAGTGGATGGCGAGGTTCAGGAGACTGCTGTACTGGGAGACGTATCCTATAGCAGGTGCTTCCAGGGCCATGCAACATGTTGGGCCTCAAATCAAAAGGCCTTCCTACCAGCACTACCCTGTCTCTGCTCTGTCCCAGGAAGGACCAGGTAGCACCAAGTGGCCCTTTAGCGGTGAACTAGCAATGGCAGCACTGGTCACAGTGGCACCTCTAAGCTCTGCGACACGGGCCAGTGCAGCCTGCAGACAGCTTCCTCTGGCTCGGCCAGGCTTCCAGTGCTTGGGGCCATCGTTGGCACAACCAGCCATGGCACCCAAAGGCCTTGGCACATAGCTGGGGTGGAAGTGACTGCGTCATCACTCCCGGCAATCTCTGTGGTCCTTGCCAGCCCCTAGGCAGAGTCTGCTACGATGCTGCAAAGCTTGTGAGATAGTTATTCTCAGTTCTCTGCTCCTAACTCTTGCTCTGGGCAAGACCCTTCCTGCAACAGATGCAGCTGGTCCCTGTGGCTGGGCCTTGGCCAGGGCTTTGCTGTGAGTGAAACATGGACACATGCCCCTCCCCTCTGGCCTGTCGTTGGAGCCCTGCCAGGGACTGACACTGAGGAGAGGCAGACAAGGGGCAGCTCACAGACAGCAGGAGGAGCAGGCAGAGCCCACCCCTTGGGAGGGTTGCTGGGGAGCAGTGGGTGAGGGGGCCAGGCAGCAGGAGGACAGCAGTGGCTAAAGCAAGAGTGAAGGGGGCTGTCTGGAGCTGGGCTTCAGACAGGGCCGCAGATACTTCAGAGGCGCAGTGGCGATGATGGGGCTTTTCCAGAGGAACTGGCCCCAGGAAGGAGCTGAGGGCCCAGAGATGGACCAGCTAATTTAATTTGCTAATGGCCTGCCAGTGCAGAGGGTTGTATTGGCTCCATTATACGGATGGGAGTGGAGGCCAGGAGGCTGTGGGGCTTCAGTGTAGCCTGTGTGCTTCTGAGCCAGAGCCTAGGGCTCTCTCAGGGACAGGCCGCACCTCCTGCCACTCACAGACATATTTGCTGGGGGCATTTGTGTGCTGGGTTGGCCTCCACCCCCAACAGTTTCCACTAAGCTCCAGGGCTGGCCTGCCTTCCTAGCTCCCAGGAAGCTGCTTCTTTGGGACCCAGTGAAGACCATGAAGTTAGTGTTCCATAAATGTCCCCTGAGGCCTCAGTGGTGGTGTTCCGTGATGTGCCGTGAGCTGTGGTGGGTGTGAGATCTGGGGTGTCTGGCACAGAGAAGCAATGACTGTTCAATAAGTAAGTTTGTGTAGGGAATATCTGGTTTGAGGGCAAATATGGTGGTACTAGGGAGATTAGTGGAACATCCTGACCTCATTTTTGTAGCCATTAAGTGGAACTGAAGCTCAGGGTATCCCAGGATGGAGGAGTAACCTTTGAACATGCCTCTAAGAGTAGCATAGTCTCAGCAAAAACTGGGGGACCACATGAAGGAGAATGGTGAACCCTGTGCCCAAGCCTTGGGAATCTCATTGCAGCCCAGTCTTCCTTTGGCCTCATGGGAAACTGGATAAAGAGAAGTGGATTTCCATGGAAGTGGCCTCAGATGCTGGCCTCCTACCCTAGGTTGCTCTTTGTGTCCCTTCTTATCCACAGTGATATCCTAAAACTCAACTTGTCCTGCTTGGCTGCTGAGGTGACAACCACAGAGGCAGTGTGAGGCTCTGGGGACCTAGGAGACGCTGGCCTACACCTCCATTAGCCTTTAGGCCTATAGTCCCAGACACAAGCCTGATTGGCAGGCATAGGAATGCCTTTCTCAGCTGCCCTAGGAGCAGCTTTGCCCTTGCTGGGTATCAGCTGCTTCTTGAGTTGGTGGATGAAGCCTTGTGGGTCTGGCTTGGGAGCCCCCTAAAGTCCCCTCCAGGCTTTGGGCAGCTGAAGTGTTCTCTGTGCTCCTCGTCTGAAGCCTGGTCTCTTGGAAGAACTCAGGCTTCAAGATGGCTAGAGGATAGACCGTAAGAGGTGTGGAGCGGCTAGCCATTGCTGCTCGAGAACCTACTGTGTGCTCGCCCTGCCGTGGGTCCAACCGGCCTCACTCCCTGCACACTCTTCCTTCTGCTTCTCTCCCGGCTCTCCTTGCCCTGCTTTCCACAGGCCAGGCCTGTCCTACATCAAGGCCTATCTATGCACGCACCATTTTCCTCTCTGGACCGTTCCTTCCCAGACCTTTCCACCTCCATGTGCGGCCCAAATGCCACTTCTTTGCTGAAACCCCCTCCCCCCAGGACCCACTCCTCACAGCAGCAAAGTCACTCTGCTCCCCCCACCTCCCCTCAGCTCCACTGTTTTCTCTCCATAGAACTCAGAGCCATCTGCCCCCAGTGTTTTATTTTTCTATGTTCTACATTGTCTTGGGCTTTCAGCTCGAGTTCAGGGGTTTGGTCTTGTCCCACAGCTGTGTCCCCGGGGCCTGTGGCAATAGTCAGTGGACGGCAGGTGTTCAGTGCATACAGTGGCCGGGTGTGTGGTCTCAGCTGTGTGCCGCTTTGACATGCTGGGTTTGTCTTGTAGTGCCAACTGTGGTCCATCTATCTGCAGGTGAGAATACAGAACCTCAGGGGGGTGCCAGCCTAGTTCCTGAGCTTGTGGTGGAGTTTGTTGAGGCTGATCTGGGATCCAGAGCTGTGCTCTGAGCCCTTGCCCTGACATCCTGTAGCTGATCAGGAAGAGTAGAGTCTGGACCTGCTGGCTGGAGCCTTTTTGCTCAGTTTCCTATCTGAGCCTGGCAGTCCCTAGCTAAGTATGTCCCCACCCCAGCTACTTGGGAGTAGTTAATCTCATAAATGTGAGCACCCTGAGGCCAGGAGAGGTGGTTTTTGGCTCCTTGCTGGTCTCTTAGATGGTGGGCCTTCTACCTGCCTTCCTGTCCAGCCTGGCTTTGACCAGTGGCATGAGAATGTAGTTTCCCGCCGGCCACTGGTTTTTGGGGGCAGTTTGTTTTGCTTTTCCATTCCAGCCTCCATATTTCCTCTATGTTTAGCTTCTCGGGTTTTCAGTGATCAACTTTTGGAGTGTCTGTTGTGAAGAAAACCCGCTGTTTTCCTGTGATCAGTGTGTGGCCTTTCTCTTCTCTCCTGGATGTCCCCATGGCTTCTGAAAAGGCCAGGCTTGCAGCCTCTTTGGCGACTGAGTGGGTGGTGCCTGGGGTCCTGTCCTCTGAGGCTCACCTGGAGATAAAGAAGGGATCAAGTCAAGGTTGTTACTGGAGCCCTGGGCGGCTCTCCCTGCTTCCATCGTGAGGGGAGTATTCTTGTGGGGTGACATGGCACCCCCATTGTGGGAGTAGATGCCCTGAGGTCAGAGAAAGGGTTTCATAGCCCATTAGTAGCAAGTTGGGTATCTCTACCCTCCATGGCCTCCTTTTAGCTGTATGAAGACTTGGTGATGAGGTGGGGGTGGGGATGAAGGGAAACTGGGGTGCTGGTTTTTGTGGCCTGGTGAGTCTGAGAAGACAGTGGAGAGGTCTAGAGAAGCTATGGGGCTCAGGCCAGAGGCATGCCCTCACCCCTGCTTACCTCCTCCTCCTTCCAGCTGCAGCTCAGGCCCCCCTAAGCTGGCTGCTCCAGCCCTGCAATTCTTCAGCACTTAAGGCAAAAATAAATCACCGCCAGCAGCTGGCGTTCTGGGTGGCAGCAGCCGCACCACCCCCCTGCCCCGACCTCTGCCTCTGGGCTTCTGGTTCCAGGCCAAGGCCAGCCTTCCTCTCAGGCCTGTGAGAGGATGTGGAAGCCTGTGGGGGCTTGGCATGGTCTGGCGAGGTCACGTGGAAGGCAGAGGCACTGTTGGCCCCTGAGGCTCTAGAGTCTCCAGCAGGAGGGGGAGGTTCCATTTCAACTTGGTAGAAATTGACCTGGGAGGGCTAGGGCAAACTCAGGGTGACCTGGTCAGTTGCTGGCCATAGAGGCGACTTCTTCTCATATCACTGCTCTCTGGGCCAGCTCAGGACGTCTCTTTTCTTTCTCTTCCATCCCTTCCTTTCTCAGAGAATCCTAGAGGTCTTGACTTCTCAAGTGCTATGACGCAGGCCCTGAGGATGTCAAATTTTAGCATCGTTTATACTTTCGACAAATAGCTTTGGGCACACGCACGTGCTATGCCCTGTGCTGGGAGGCTGGGGCTGTGGATGTATAGAAGCCTTCCCTTTGCGGGGGGCCCCCATGGGGCTGATCTCTCTGAAGGTGGGGGAGTATAAAACAGACAAGCCAAGGAGAAATCATGGACTTGGTCATATTCCTTTGTTAATTATTACAGTCTTTAATTACAGGAATGTTGCATGGTACAATTAAATAGTAAGAGTAGAAAATGAATCCCTTCTCTCAGCCGTGCTTCTCTCTCCCCAGAATGCCTCATGTTCTCTGGGTGACTGTCTTTCCCAGTGCTTGTGTGAATGTAGAAGTTCTCTCCCCTTCTCTCCCCTTCCCCCACCCCTGTGTCTCCTGGTTCCCTGCATCAGGATCCTGGCCATGTGGTGCCCAGTGCCCACTGGGCCCAGGGTTCCATTCCTGTCTCCAAGACGAGGGCTGAGTCACCGAGTCTGTGGATCCTGGTTGTGAAGCCTTTGAACTCGCCCAGTCATTGACTTCACACATCATGGGTTCTTTGTGAAATTTTACCGGTCTGAGGCCGGGAACCTGGAATTGCAGAATTGGAGCAGCTTAACCCCCAGAGAAGCTCTAGGGCCTGGCTGGAGACCTCCTTCCTGGGATCCCAGGGGGTTTTGACCATCTCGATTCCAAGAATTCTGGTTCAAAGAGTGTGAGGTCTATGTGTTTTAATTTCCCCCAATAGCTCAGCTCTAGCTGTCCAGACCCCCGGCCTCTGTGAGATCTAATCTATCGGCACTGTGGAACTTACTGACCAGCTCCCTCAGGACAGAGCAAACCTTGCTTGGACTTGAATGGGGAAAATGTCCAACACTTTTCCTTGAAGGGGGGAGTCCCTGCTTCCCTGTCTGCCCCTTTCTGGACCTTCCAGAGGAAGGACCACCCTAATCTTCAGGCAGGGTCCACTTTCTGCCTGGGGGAGGGCCACCTCTGCTGTGAACTCTGCCTCCGGCCGCCCACCACTTGCTTGGTCCTCTGCCATTCTTGAATCCTGGTTTTTGGTGAAGAAAGACCCTGTGGAGAAATTTTATGTTGTCCTGGTTCCAGGAGGGGTGATAATGACCATGCATGCCCTTTTGCTCTAAGCCTCACTTTTCCCTTTTGTGAAATGGGCACTAGAGTTTCCCTTCTCTCAAGACATCATCCTCTCCTGTCCTTTGTACTTGGCTCTGTGGTCAGGGCAGGGCAGGGCAGCTTCCTCTCCTTGTTACCCCCTCCACTGTGCAGCCGGAGGTTTGGCCATGCCAACTGCTACCTGCTGGGTCTCAAGCTGTTGGCAACACCTGTTTGGTCAAAGCAGCCAGGCCCTTCTCTGGGACTTAGGAAACCTGAAGACCACTAGGAGTGTCTCCAGGAGTCCCTGTAGTATTCTTAGAACATCCCAGGACCCCAGACCTATGTGACAGAACATACCCACTATCCCCTCTCTTTTGCTAAATGTGAGCTGGACTGGGTCTGGCCAGCACAGCCATAACCAGTCAGGGTCCTGGCCTTAACCTTGTAGCCTAGACCCACAGTACAAGGCTTGGTCCTCTCCTGACCCAAATGCCTCCCGCTGGCCTTCGGCCCAGCTGTAGCTGGGCAAAAACACCCTAAACAGGTACAGGTTGTTAGGGAATAGATTTGGGGGACAAGGGAGTGATGGTGATCAGGAGTTCTGGGAGTCTCAAAACTTGCCTCTATCCAATGGGAACACCAGAGCAAGAAAGGCAGTTGTGCCCACGTACCTGGTATTCTGTCTGGGGTGGGGTGAGGTTTAGAATGTGGAAGTGGCAACAGTTGGGAGCACAACACCCCGAACAGATTTGGGTGCGGCCGTGTTGGGGATTGAAGCAGTATGGCCAGAGCCTCTCGTCCAGAATGCTGAGATTCAACCTGCATTGGATTTCAGAACTGGTTTTCAGGTTTTAGAATATATGTGATGAGATATTCAGGGAGGGGACCCAAGCCTATATACGAAATCCATCTATGTTTGTTTTATCTATGACTTATATATAGAATCTGAATATGAATACATTATCTTTAATAATTTTGTGCAAGCTTTTGTGATATGGAATTTTGTCATTCTAATCTTTTTTCTCTCTCTTCAACTGGGAACAGAACCTAGGACCTCATGCATGGCAGGAAAATCCTCCTGCCATTGATCTATACCTCCAGCACCAGAAAAATATTGTAAAGAACAAAATCCCGGGCAACAGGATGGGGCAGTTCATAAGGCACTTGCTATGTAAACCTAGCAACCCGAGCTCAACCCCCAGAACCTGTATAAAAGTGGAAGAACAGAGCTGATGACTAAAATTTGTCCTTTGACCTACACACACACACACACACACACACACACACTACCATCATTTAAAAAGAAAGAGAAGATGTACTTTTTGGACAGTGTCCTTTGGAAACACATAGTATTAGAATTCTATTTTAGTTTTTCCCATGTGTGAGCCCTTGGCCGGTGGCCCTGCTACTGTGTCCAGTCTCCTCTCTGAGGCACAGAGATGGTCCTTTCTCTCTGGAGTGGTTTTGAGCAGTCTGAGTTCACACATAGCCTGGGCACATGAAAGGGTGTGGGATATGTTACTTTCTATGGCAAGGTTTTGAGATTTGCCTGGTATTTCAGGCAAGAGACTGAATTTCTGCTTAGTTAACTTGCTCATTGCGATGCACTAACTTCCTAGGTCTCTGTCTGTCCAGCCCTAGCCGTCACTGTGCCTGGACCCTCTACATAGGTTCTACATAGGCTGAAGGGGATATCTATGTCCTTGTGATTTTGGGGGCTCTCCATGGTGTCACCGAAGTTTAGGGCCACCGCAGCAGAGCCTGTGTGTACCATAGCCACCGGATGCCCATATTCAACAATACAACCTTTGACAGCAAAGACTTTCACTTCCCTTGGTTTAGATGTGAGACGTGGTCCACGCTGGTAGCTTCTTGTAGCTCATACCCAGAGTTCAGCTCCTTTGGGGAGGGTGTTCTCAGATCTCTCTCTTACCCCACTAGTTGGTCAGTGATCCAAGTGGTTAGCGTCTGCCACGGTGTCTCTTTTCTTGTCCTTCTGGATCTTCTCAGCTGACCCAAAGGACAGGGAACTGCTACTCCTCCGCAGACTCCAAAACCAAGGTGCAGTGAGGTTGTGTGGGGACCAATCTGTCTCCATCATTCTGTGTGCCCAGAGCCCAACGGTGGCATCCATAGCACCTGGGTTTCCCCAAAAACTCACTGTCTTTGGACCCATGGCTTAAACCATTTCCTTGTCTACCACCAGGCTTGTCCCCATGGAGATGTGCTAATTTGGTGTTACCAGTCTCTGTGGCCCGTCTCCATACTCCAGGGTATTTGCGGGGAGGGAAGTTCTAGCATGACACGTGGTGCCAGTGTTTCTTGAGAAGTGGAATGACGTCTTCCTGAGATTTGGCATCCACAGATAACAATGAAATGATCTTTACCAGATCTTTTGGTGCTGGGCACTGTGCTTGGTGCCTTCCAGAAATTATCCTATGTAATTCTCAAAATGTCCTGGACAAGAGAGGGATGAGGTTGGGGAGGTAGGGGCCAACCCAGATGTCAATCAATATCCCAAAGTCATGAAGAGAAGCCTCAGTGCCCTAAGAATACTGTAGGCTGGTGGGAGATGCCTGGCCTGAGATTGTCTTCCAGGAGATGGCTAAGAATCATGCTTGGCTGGGAGTAGTGCTGGCCATCAGCACCATAAGCTGTATTGGCCCAGATTTAAGTGGGGACTGTCCCTTTTCTGTGTGACTGGAAAGTAGAGTTGCCTCTCTAACCCTCACTTCTGTAACTCTGAAAAATAGGGCAGAAGCTCCCTTTCACATGAATTGTTCCAGATGAGCGCTTGGCCACATCTTATAGCTGCTTAAAAGCTCTAGATGGCAGAGGGCCATTTTCCAGGCAGATAAACTGAGGCTTCGGGGCGAAGAGACATGGTCAGGATTCATACCCAGCTTGAGTGATCTGAAGCTTTCTGCCCCCCCTGTGATTTCACTTTCTGAGTATGGACTGGTCCAGTCAGCTTCACCCTTGCTCTGGACCAGGTTGGAGGACAGACACACAGTTTCTCAGGTCCTTTGGACCTGGGATCCTGGGCAGGGCCATGCCTCCTCTCTCTGCTTTTATGTGGTTGATTCTGACGTCTTCATTTGCTCCCTGTCCTGGGAGCCATTTGGCCTTCACAGCTGTGCTCTTCCTAGACCAGGTGGGTGCAGAAGATGGGCACAGCACACTTCTCAAGAATTTGGTCACAAGTGTGCTATGCTGCTCTGGAATGCTGTGGTGTGGAAGCTGCCCTGCTTATGGACAAGGTTTCTTCACACTTTTCCCACTTGTCACTTTTACCCAAGACATCTTTATGTGACCCTGGGTATCTAAGATGGCTAATTAAACATTTACTGGTAGTAAATCATAAAGAAACTTATTTTTTATTTGATTATTACATTTTTGTTTGTTTTTTCAAGACAAGGTTTCTCTCTCTCTCTCTTCTTTCTTTTTTTTCCCCCTTTGGTTTCTTTCAAGACAGGGTTTCTCTGTGTAGTTTTGGAGCCTGTCGTGGAACTCGCTCTGTAGACCAGACTGGCCTCGAACTCACAGAGATCTGCCTACCTTTGCCTCCCAAGTGCTGGGTTTAAAGGCATGTGCTACTACCACCCGGCTAAGCAATTTATTTTAAAGCAGCTCTTTGATATGTGTGTAATTTCATCATTTAATAAAGATGAAAAATATTTGCATACTAAAGAACTGGGCACACTACTTTTTACATAAATAATTAAATTTTAGCTGAATATCAGATACTCTAGGACATAGAGTATCTAGGACATAGAGTAACATTTTTCAGAATTGATAATATTTTGATTTTATAGCTGTCAAGTGGTGAGAATGTGTTTTTGCATAAATACATAGTAGAAAACGACACAACTATGTTTAGGGTCTTTTCAGGAAAGATTGAAAAAACTCTGCTCTGATCTCAAGCTGAAATTCATTGAACTTTTTAAGAAAATGAAATTCAAACAGCTTTATTTGAAACAGTCTCACTATGCAGCCCTGACTGGCCTGGCCTGGAACTCACTATAGACCAGGCTAGTCTCCAACTCACAGAGATCCATCTGTCTACCTTCTGAGTGCAGGGATTAAAGGTGTGCATGACCACACCTGGCAACAATTTTTTTTTAAGGACAGGGTTTCTCTGTGTAACTTTGGAGCCTGTCCTGGAACTCACTCTGTAGACCAACTGGCCTCGAACTCACAGAGATTCACCTGACTCTGCCTCCCGAGTGCTGGGTTTAATGGTGTGCACCACCACCGCCTAGCCTGGCACCAATTTTTAAAGAAAAGATTTACTTATTTTTATTTTATGTGTATGAGTGTTTTGCCTGCATGTATGTATGTGTACCATGTGTATACCTGGTATACAGAAAAGGGCATTAAATCCCTTGAACTGAAGTTACAGACAGTTGTAAGCCACCCTTGGGGACTGGGAACCAAACCCAGGTTCTCTGTAAAAGTAGCAAATGTTCTTTAACTGCTGAACCATCTGTCTGGTAACACTTTTTAAAATCAAACATTATTGATTTTATATATCATAGCACATATACATATATGTGTTATATATAAACACATGTGATATATACATTATAACACACACACATATATATATCTATATCTATATATTGTTGATGGTACAATCTGTTTTAGTTACTTCTCTGCTGCTGCGAAAAATATCAGGACCAAAAGCAATTTAAGGAAGAAAGAGTTTGTCTGACTTACATTTTTAGAGGGCTAGAGTCCACAGTGGTGGGGAAGGCACAGCATGGCAGAACGGGAAGGAGAGAGAGAGCGAGCACACGAGCAGGGAGTAGGGTGAGGCTGTACACCCTATAAGTCCACCCCCAATATTGTATGTCCTTCAGCAAGGCTCCACCTGCTAAAAATTCAAATACCACCACCAATGGTTGGGCCACATGTTCAAACATGAACCTAGGAGGGATATTTCTCATTCAAGCCACCATACAATCCAAATATATAAAATACTTATATGCTGAGAAATATAGTCAGAAGACAAAAGCTTTTGTCTTCCTTTATGTTTCTGTAAGATCAGAACACTGTGTGTGCATTAAAAACACCACAGTTCATAACATTCATTTGAGCCAAGGTGTTTCAGGCAGTGTTTGTTGGTGTTGTGTGGCTCAGTGCAGAGTGGGCATGAATTGTTCAGAATCAAGGCTACAGTGATGTTGTGCAATGCAACGAGGAAAAGCACTGCCTGAAATGCATGGGATTCATGACATGCTGACTTTGCATTGAGTTTTGATTGCTGCCTGTTCAAAATATTTACCGTTGGCATTTTTTGTGACCCATATTGCATCACCATATGGAGTCACATATGTATCCCATACTATATGTAAATCTATAGTTTAAGAATCTGATACTTAAGGAATCATCCATCCATTTATCCACTACCCCATCCATCCATCCCTCCATCTATCCATCCATCCATCCCCACCACAATCTATCCATCAAACCTTTCATCTATTCATTATCCATCCATCCATCCATCCACCTATCAACCCATCCCTCCATTTGGCCTTAGGAATCCAGGTCCTGTGGAGAAGCAATTGTATTCACAGACTCCTGAGACCCAGTGAAAGGCTCCGAGGTGAGTGTTTCTGGGTCCTGGCTTCTCAAGGCCTATGGTGACACCTGTCTTCCCAGGGGAGGGTTTAGCCCAGGAGGGCCCTTAGAGAACTCTTGAAAGCCATCTCTGGACTCTAGACAATGAAATTCTTAGTTGACTGCTACCTAAGTCCCCTGGGACTTGCGGAGAACAAGAGCCAAAGGATTCAACGCCTAAACACAGTTGCAGTCTGCTGTGGGGCAGCCAGCCAGCCACATCAAACACTTCTGCACCTGCCAGCACCCATCCTGAACCCCATATCCCCAACCCATTCCTGAACCTGTCTCTCATTTCTGATCTAAGTCCCTGGTGCCTGTCCCCGTCCTCTAGATCCTGGGCCCAAGCCTCCCCAGCAAAGCCTTAGACTTTGTGGATAGTTTGATTTGCTGAGACAATCAGAACAAAACCCACTGGCCTATGCCCCAGCTGCCCATTTTCTGTTCTCGGCTCTTTCCTATAGATGGATTATCACCCTCTTTTCCACAGGGCCTTGTCCCCTCTGGCTATCTAAATCCATTGCTATAGGATATATCCAGGGTTCTCTTTTGCCACTGGACTCTCTCTTCTGGTGTAGGAAGGAGTCCTTCCAGAGGTGGCAAAGAGTCTATAGCCTTAGGACACTGGGTGACAAAGCAGTCCTGCTCCGTGGAACTTGCGTGTCAAGGGGAGAATGACCGTGGACTCTGTGTGAGCAGAGACCGTGAAATCAAAGAGTGAGCTGCAGGGTGTCTGAGAGAAGATGGCAGGAGTAGGCCAGAATGGTTGCTGCTGGACCAGTAGGGCAGAGCAGGAACGGAGCAGGAGGGCCCTTCTCTGCTGGGTCTACAGACTGGGTCATCATCTTCGCATGTGTGCCAGCATGTGTGCATGGGGTAGTGCCAGCTCCAATGGCCTGGGCTCCTCAGGGATGGCTGGCCTGGCTGCTGTAATGGGATGCCAAGGAAATGACAGATGGACAGATGCCCCACAGGGCTTTTCTCTCTGGGCTCCACCTTCAACTGCAGCTGTTTTGGGGGCTGTACAGCCCTAGCTGGTCCCCACCCTCTTTTAGCTCGTTTGGCATGAGGACTGACAGGAGCGTCCTCCCCCAGGGCTGTGAAATAGGCTGGATTTGGAGGGACTCCAAGCCACCTGTCTTCCCTCAGCCTAGGGGTGCTGATGTGGATTGGGAAGATGGCCACAGAACCATGCCTTCTTCACAATCCAGCAGCCTCAAACAGAGGATCCCAGATCAGAGAACTCAAAGGTGGAGGCCTTAGATAGGCAGTGCCTATACTTAGATAGGTATGCTCCCTACAGTGTGCATACTCCCTGTGCAGTGTGCATAGATGTAGCTGGACGCAGTTGGAGGGCCTGATGGTGGCATAGCCATGGGAGGGTGGGTGTTGTGACTGCACATCAATGTTTCTGAATTTAGGAGGTTGGGAGGGTACGGTGCTGTGTGCACAGACAGCTGCAGAGAGAGAGGGCGGTGCGGCCAGTGCTTACGATCCAAGGTACAAAGATCCTGGTGGAACACCATTCCCCTGGCTCTCTGACCCTATATAACTTTTGCCTTCCCAAGACAGCCCGCTAGTTGGACAGAGCTGTTCCTCTGAGACCAGGCCTATGACCCCAAGTCCATGTGTCTCTGGGGTCTTTTGTATCTTCTCTGTAAGTCTATACCTGCCGCCTCTGGTGTCCAGACTTTTCCAGCTCACCTCTACTCCAGCTATACCCCGGTCTTCTGGACCCAGAAAGCCTACAGAGTGGAAGCTTGCAGGGTCTTGTTCATGTGTGCTGACACATTGCGCCTGCATTACGATGCTGGAGGATGCTAGGACTCTGTTCCCATGCCTAGGAGGATGCGGGCTTACAGAGGTTTACAGGATTTTCTGGGGCCTCTGATGTTCTCTTGAGCCGGGATGGAAGGGTCCAGCCCTCAGGGCCCATGCATTGCTCCCATGGTTGGCTACATCCTAGGGCTGGTGGTATTGATCTCTGTCCATCCTGGGCATCCTCCCTACTTTCACACACCTGTCCTGGGATGCAGGCTCTCCCTGGATAGAAGCCTCTCTCTTCACGGGTCCCTTCCCACTTCCACAGCCTCAGTGGCTCCTCCTTTGTTCAAGTTCTTCCCTTTGCTCGTGTGTTTATCTTACGGATCCAGCACTCTCCAGTGGTCATTAGTCTAACCCCAGTACTATAGTGCTCTGTGGGGGTGCGCTGGGAGCTGGTGGACGCCCACTGTGAGGAGCCTCTCTACCTTGTCATTGCACAACTGATGGCTGACTATTGTTCGTTTCAAGGCACTGGGCCTGAGCAACTGAGTCCTTCTGTATTTACTTCACAGATGAGGCCACAGTGGCCAGGGGTATAGAGTTTAGTTTCTGGGTCTGTCTCCACACCCACATTGAGCAATGGTACCTTAGGCAGAGGACAGTCTCCCAGGACTTCGCTTAAGCCCTTGATCCCCAGAATGTGGTTTCTCCAAGCTCAGGGTTACCATCCTCAGTGTGGGCACAATGACGGTCTTTGCTGCCCTGCTGACCGTGCTGGGATAGAGAGGCTGAGGACAGGGCTGTAGTCTGCCCAAGCTCTCGAGTGTCTGCAGGCTGTTTTCCCAGAACCCAGTTTTCCTGTCTGTAAAAATATGATGTCTGTCTCATTCTGCTCTTTTTGTTTGTTCATTTGTTTTCCAAGACAGGGTTTCTCTATGTAGCCCTGGCTGTCCGGGAACTCTCTCTGTAGACCAGGCAGGCTGGCCTCAAACTCACAGAGATCTGCCTGTCTCTGCCTCCCAACGATGTGTGCCACTGTCCTGGGATCATACTGCTCCTTAATGCTTCCTGAGGGGGTAGGGTTTGGTATCTGGGAGCAATCTCTAGATTATTGTTTTGCAAACTCTCAGGGGTCCCTGTGGGGCCTTCACTGTGTTTGTGACTGAAGAGGAGTCAGCACCAGAAGCTCAGCTGGAGGCTAAATGGTGGGAAGGGGAAGGCAGTGGGCAGGCTGTGGACATCCGGGGAGGGATGACCCAGTAAGAGCAGGAGGCATGCGCTGTGGGAGCTTGTGTTGTGAAGGGGGAGCCGCCAGAAAACGTCCATCTGTTTCTCCAGAAAATTTTGACACCCCGTTAGGCCTATAGCGAAGTATGTGTCCCCAGTGCGTAGACAGAAATGGTGGCAACTGGGATAAAGATGGTGACATTTCTCTATGCCAGGCTCAGCACTAAACTCCTTGTGAACCTGGAGGTCCTCGTATGCCTAGTTGCTGCTTGTTGCATGTGGGGAAGCAGAGGCAGGAGAGGGACAGTGACCTGTCCAAGATCTAACCGTGACCAAAAGGCAGAGCTTTGAGCGAAAGCTGTGAACTAGCCAAAAGAGGAAGAGAGAGCGTGTGGTGTCTGGTGGAGGCTGGGGAGTGGTTGAAACCTCTCTGCAGAGTGGATAAGACTATCTCCAGAGTGTGGTCTGCACTCTTGTGCTGTGTGGCACAGGAACAGCTAGGCGGTGGGCCTAAGTAGCCAGCCCCAGATGTCTACTCTTGTACCCGGGTCTCTGTCAGGTCTGTCTTGTAGCTGCTCTAGAGTCCCGGGAGGTAGGCAGAGCCTGAGGTCACTCAGAGATGCTCACTGTCCTGCTGTGGGCTGCAAAACTCACTCTGTCAGAGCCCTGAGAGAAATGTCCAGCAGACACTGGGAAGACACGCCCAAAGAGGGGCGTCTGGGGACCTATGATCACACAGCCAGGGAGTTCCAGGGTTGGTCTTCAAAGCCGGTTGCATGCTCTGCAGCCTACTCTATGAGCAGTCTACGTGATGGTGAGTCCTCATGGCTACCACAGCCCTCACAGGGAAGTTAGTCCTCACAGGTAAGGTCGCTGTAGCCCTGTGAGAGTAGCCTGGCATTCCCATTGGTCTCCAGAGAAGCCAGCAGGATGCTCTAGGGAACATATGGAACATATGGGGGCAGGGCCCAGAAGGCTGCTAAGCAGAGCCTGCGCTGACCTGAGTGAAGGGCTGTTTTGGGGAGATGGTCACTGTAATTTCCATCCAAGGTTGTTGCTCTGTGGCGTGGGTCCTTTGCTCTTGTCCTGTCTTCCTCCAGGGCTGGTGGGTGGGCTGTCCCAGAGGCAGGTGACTTCACAGGGGAGGGCACCCTCCCTGGTTGTGACTTAGTCGGCAGTGAGGGCTGACTATCCTGAGCCATTCTGGCTCCCAGGCAGATGTTTTTTGCAGACTCTAGTCCTGGGGTCACAGCTCAGGGGGTTACTCAGGGCCCACATGGGAGCCCATTGTCCATCAAAGTCACCTGTCTACTTCCTTTGGTACCTGTGTGATTCCGAGCAAACTCTCTAGTTCTCTGAGCTCCAGCTTCCCCATCTTTAAAGTATTAGAATAGCGGCAGCCCTACAGGACCACTCAGAACTGAGCTAGGGAGACTAAATGATGGGGCCTTCAGGATATGGGCTCTAAAACCAGTGGCTCTGACTCTTTCGGCTGTCTAGCCCTGAGTGAGTTCTTTGCCGTCTCGGAGCAGCAGTTTGCTCTCTATCAAGTGAGACTAACATTACAATCTTCCCCGCAGGCTGTGCTCTGCACAGAGGGTAGCAGTCTGGGGCATTTCTGTTATTGTGTTGAAGATTCCAGCCATGGGCTCTTGAGCAGTGGCCACCTCTGAACCCCAGTTCCTCAGATACGAGAGGAGGCATTTCCCAGCTGTCACTCGCTGCCAGACTGGAGGCTACAGCTGCCGCTGTCTGCAGGGAGTGGCTCATCCCGAGCACTCTTTGCTGATGGAACGCAAACAGCATGCAGGGTTTTAAAGCAAGGCCAGGGAAGTGTCTGCCTCCATCCCAGCCTCCTCACCCAGCAGAGGCAGCTGAAGCTATGAGCTGGGGACAGGCAGGAGATGGAAGCTCGTGAATAAATCACCGCATGACCTGGGCTAATGCACTGGCTCTGGACAGCATGCGCAATTAGTGCGCTAATTGTCAGAGCTGGTGACTTTTGTGCAGGCATGGCACAGCATGCCTGTGTTTACAGAGTGCCAAATGCCTTCCGAGGCTCAGTAGCCCTGGGATCATGTCCTCCCCACCCCCATCACCTCCAGTAGCGTTACCTTAGGGCACTTGTCCCCTGTTGAGTCTCCCCTGAGTAGGCTTCCCAAGCCTCTGAAAGGACTTTATACCCAGGAACTCAGCTAGGCCCACTTGGCCTGGAGCTGCTGGGGTGACACCCTCACCCGCAACTCCTTTTCTTCACACAGCCTCTTTTTGTATTCAATGCTTGGATATTTTTTCTTTTGAACCAAAGCTGTCCCAGACTAGCTAGATACTGCCCGTTGCCAAGGTGACCAGACCATCTCTCCCACCCTGCAGCATTGCTTAGGCTGGGTGTGTGCATCTGCCCTTCTGCACAACCCTGAACAAGGTGCGTGTGTGAGTGTGTGTGGCCATGCCTGTGTATACACATGTACAAGAGCAGATGCAGAGTCCTGGTGCACACAGCACCATGGGCGTGACCAGATCTGCTCTCTGGGAAGGCACACATATGGGAAAACAGGCTGCCCGCACGGTGACAGCTGCACAGAGCTATCTTGACCTCTGTATGAGGCCAACTGTGCCAATTATTTCCTAGGCTCCGCCCTGCGCCCCTGGTAGCACTGTAGCTGCCTGCATACACAGCTGTGGGCTGAGTGTACCGGCTTGTGGCAGCTCTCAGTACTTGGTTTTAGGCCAGGCCACAGCCCTTGACACCCGTAACACCCTGGAGGGCCTCCAAGGGTCTTCCTAGGCTTAGTGTCTGGTGCCCCCTTGGGGCCGTTGACCATGCTGCCATCCTTTCCTGGCTCACATTCCCTGTCTAAGCTTCCCAACCAATTCTTAAATAAACTCCTTGCCCACAAGCCCTTGGCCTGATCTTGAGGGAATATTCTAGGAGAACACGCACCATGCCTTAGGCCATGTGTGAGTAAAGATGCCACGTATGTCAGTGGCGGTGTGAGCCCCTGTGAGTATGCTGCCCGCTGTGCACTCAGGTCTGCTCTAGGCACTGAACATAGAGCAATGTCATTAATCTTCCACCTGCTGTGGTAGGGAGGCAGCATGCCCATTCTAAAGATGTGAACTTGGAGGTGGCAAAGGTTAGTCACACATACCGTGCTTTTGAGGTGAAAGTGAGCAGGCTACAGCAGGCTGCAACCAGAAGCAGATGTAGAAGGAGTCGTGTTGTGTCCCCTTCCTGAACCCCCTCCAGCCTAGCATCTTCCCAGAAGGTGGAGCTGGTAGGAAGGCAGACTTACTTGTGAGCCTCACCAGCTGCTCCAGCAGTGTGCCCTAGTGGCTTCACCCAGATACCTAGCCCAGGTCTGAAATGACTAGCCTGCTTAGTTCCCCGGGCGCCTCTCTCTGAATGGAGGTTTCCCTTTCAGAGCCGCAGGTTTCCCAGAGTGTCTCTCAGGTTGTCAAGAGGCACAGGCAATAGGTGAAGAGCGATGCTCTCACTCTCCTGAGCCAAACAGGAGCAGGCTTTTCCTGGGGCTCTCACGACCGAGACCTGCTGGTAAAACCCCTGCTCCCCATAGATGGACCGCTTTCTTGAGCGCTATGCTTATGGGCTGGGGCAGCAGGGAGTGGACACTAAGTCCCGAGGCACCAACTCAGGTTCCTGGCAGCCCCTGTTTCTTCATGGCGTCAGACAGCTACCTAAACCCTTGCTAAGAGGCACACAGTCCAAGAATTCCTGCCAGTGACTCTGCACCTCCGTGTTTGCAGCTCTGGAGCCCCAATTCCCTACCCCTGCTGTGCCAAGGACTGACTAGCTGGCGGGCTGTGGGCACGGCGCTTGCCCTCTCTGAGCTCTGAGTTCTCGGCTCTGTAAAGGGTGGTGGTACGCGCTGCACTCTGATGTATAATGTCACCTCACTGGGTTTAGAAAGCACAGTGTTAAGAGGCTGGGGACAGGTCCGTGGAGACAAAACCTCATGAGGGGACCCACTTGTCATCTGTGAGGGGTGGGGTTCCCAAGTCTCATCTCTGACTGGAGCCATCAAGAGCAATACCATACCAGGACTAGACAAGGTGCTGTTGATAGCCCTTGCTTGCCTTCTGGAAGCCTCAGTTTTGTGTTCTTTCTTGGGCCCCCGGCCTGGGAAGGGCTTTGAGGTGGAGGTGAGCTCACTAGACCCCAACTGTGGATTTGATCTGGGAGACTGAGGATGGTTCATGTGTCCAAAGGCTGGGAACCAAGCTGCTTTCCCAATGAGCCCCTCACTTCCTGCTCCACCCTCACTTTTTCTCATACCGTGCACTGTGCAGCCCACCCTGTCCTCAGAGCCTTTGTTCACTTACTTTCTCCCTGCAACATTCTAGTCCCATAACCCTGGCTCCCTCCACCCCGGGTGGCCATCTAGCACCTCCCGAAGCCTTGTCTTATGCACTGGTGGCTTTATTCTAGAACAATTCCACCCCAAACATCAAGAGGACCGAACCTTTCACCTCTGTTCTTCCTGCACCCTGCATAGGTCTAGCACTCATAAACATGTCTTCAGGGTCGACAGGTGAAGGGATGAGGCCATGGGGAGCAGATGTGGGTCCCTGACTGCCCTATGGGCTCATAAATTGGCTTTGGTCCCTACCCTTTGCCTGGCAGTGTGCTGCACTGTCCACGGTCAGGGCGCATTTGCCATCTACTTATTCAGCGGGATGCTTTTGCTGTGAAGGTAGCTAGGAGCAGTGAGGTCTTTATTGAGATGGCATCTGTAGGTGTGGATAGGAACTGCCTGGTGCCGCCTCAGCTAGCAGTGATGGGGCAGGGAGGGAGCTATGGGAAGGTCTATCCCATCCACCACAGATGGGGCCACACGTTTTTCTGTCCTTTGTCTTCAGGGCTCGGAGGCAGAGCAATAGAGAGATCCTGACTAGCGTAGTCAGGTGAATACGTTACTTTTCTTGGTGCTATGACAAATTGTCTGTCAGAGGTAACTAAGAGGAGGAAGGGTTCATAGTTGGCCAGTACCGTCCATCATGGTGGGAGGGGATGGTGACAGGAGTGGGAGACAATGGGTCAGGTTGGATCCTCAGGAAGTAGAGAGGTGTATGCTGGTCCTCGGCTCGCCTTCTCCTTTCACTTAGTCTAGGACCCCAGCCAGCATTAATTCAGTGTGGGTCTTCTCTATTCAATTAAACTTTCTAGAAACATCTAGACACACCCAGAGGTGTGTTTCTGTGCTGAGTCTAAAAGCAGTGATTAAACACTGCACCAGGTAACCTTTTGTGTGTGTGTGTGTGTGTGTGTGTGTGTGTGTGTGTGTGTGTAAGGATTAAAGTGCTAGGCATGCTTCAATTGACTGTTTGGGAAATTTCTCATGTCTTGGAAGGTCAGCTAACAGTATGAAAGAAGAATCTGAGTAATCCCAGACATGGGTTAGGGTCTTCTAGAGACCAAGCAGGCATGTCTGAAAAGGATTGGGGAGCTGAAGATGGGAGTGTGGGAAGGGAGTATTTGTGGAAGGGGGCAGACAGACAGACAGATGCCCCGAGGCTGGCCAGTGGGCATGAAAAGAATGTGGCGTGGAGAGAATTCTGCTGCTGCATTAAATGCCACCCTCGGCCATTATTGGCATAGGACAGAGTCCACTTTCCCACCCCTCCATGGGCGTTATTGGCATAAGACAGAGTCCACCTTCCTACCTACCCTCCTTTTGCCTCCCAGGTCATATGTTGGGGCCCCTCAGGGGAATCAGACTCAGCTCTCATCCTCAGGGGTGGCCCTGGCCTGCTAGGGCAGCTTCAGGAGCTTAGGCTGGCCTGGTCCTAGTGACAGAGGGAAGTACAGGGGATGGGAACTGAAGAACCTGTAGGAGTTGGAGAATAGAGATGAAAGGGCCTTAGATAGGGCAGTAAGCACACGGCAAGGAAGGACTAGGCAGTAGCTAGCTCAATTATCACTCTGGGACAAGGATTAATTAATTGCTTTGGCTCACAAAGAAGGGGAAGCCAGCAAGCCCTGTGTCCCCACCCGAGTCACTGTTATCTTTTGTGCTCTCAGCTTCTCCTTCATCTCTCCAGCATGTTCAACTTGGGCATACCACCATTCAGATTCCTGGGACACAC